TCAGGTCTGGCTACAGAGCTTTGTTCATTTGGGGGTATTTGCTTTAGGAATTAGCATGGTTTCACTGTTCAGTATCCCTGGCCACAGATTCCATGGAAAACCCTTTGTCATCCTTCCAACTGGTGTCCAAAACTTTCATCTTCACAAACTTTCCCACTGTTTGCTTCTGTCATGACTATGTACAGTGGTCACTGGAGTTCATACGTTGTGCAATAGTTTATATCTATTGTCCCCGGGATTAGATTTTCCCTCCCAGCACTTTCTTGGATAGGAGTTGACTTGCCCTCTTGAGGAGACCTGCGTTGTTGCAGTTTTGAAGTCTAAGGTGCGGAACTAGAAGAGAGCAGTGTTGGTGCCCAGTCTCCAAGCAGATGAGTGTTGTTTGTTCATCTTAATAATGTACGTTGTTCCTTCATCGTAAGGTTAGTGGTGGGCTCATGAAGTGGCAGCATCCTCGTAAGGTATGCATGTGTTTAGACAGTGTACAGACGGACGGTGGCTCATAGTGAATGATGGAGCATGGAATAGAATGTGTAGTTCTCTTGTGAGTCAGTATACAGAGTTGGAAAAGCAATACAGTTTCCATATTGCTAAGCAGGCTAAAAAAATATTTGTCTACCTTAATTTTCCACTCTGCCATTTAGGTGAAGTGATACATGAAAGGGATACATGAGAACTTTAAAAGATAAATATGTATATGAGGAATTCTTACCCTGTAAAGGCTTCTTCCTAAAAATGAAATGATGTAGACCTGAATTTTCTTCATCCAGATTTAGATATTATCAGATAAGACTTGGAAATCTTCATTCCTTTTTCAAGGTGTGAGTTCTCCAGACAGTTCTATAAGGATACAGTGATTCATTTGTAAAGAGAGAATTTAAAGTTATGTAACCCATTTAGTTACCTTTCCAGTTGTGAGCTTATGAATGTTTTTATTACCTCTGTTTACATTCTACAGTGTTTCTATTTAAATAACTTAAATGGGCATGTTACAGGCTTACCTGGAGTTTATAAAAATGGAAACAATAACTATTTGTCTCCTGGGGAATTATTCTGTAATCAGTTGAGTTGAGAAATTAATGCAGAGCCACCAACCTGATTTTAAAGCATCACAGTTATCCCTAGGTATGTTATTAATGAGGAAGGGGTCAGGGGAGGTGTAAGTGCCTCAGGAAAGGCCTTAGGGAGCAAGCAGTAGAGCCAGCTCCCTCTCCCACTTTCCTGAGAGCATTCACACCCAGGATCCTCCACTCCATTCTTGGAAGCTGCCCTCTGCTGGAGGCCTTTGTTTCCTTTGATGGACTGATCAGGGAAATCTTGTCACCCAGATAAGCAAGAGATTAACAAGGGAACATTTCCTTTTTCTTTTCCCCAAGGCCTCCACCCTCCATAATTTCACGAGTGAAAGCTCCTGCCTGAGCAGTAAAAGACGGCACAGATGCTGTCTGTAAACTACAGTAGGGTCTCCTGGATTTTTGTGAGCCTGGAAAATGATAAAATTAGAGACTCCTGCACCTGAAAAGACCAGAGCTGAAAAGAATAAAGAGATTACCTGGTATTCATAACAATTTTTAAACCACACATTAGGTACCCTAAACACACATTAGGTAAAGGAGTGAGCATTTATGAAGCTGTAACTTTAAATACGATGTCAGTTTAAACTCATCTAGAGACCTGAGAACGCACAACTTTATTTCCCAATTTCTGATCAGAAATTTTTTTTTTAAAAAAAGAATTAGTTTGGAATAATTTGACTGGCATTAATTTCTAAATCTCAATTAAAGTTTTTTAAAATGCAGTTTTATAGCTTTCAGAGTTACATAGAAACTTTAATCAAGATAGAAAATGTCAGAACAAAGTTGTACCCCACAAGTTAATGAATAGATTTAAGTAATCATCCAGGAAACTTGCAAGCAATGTTTCATACTAATAGAATTACTGTTGTTTCAAGGTATTTGAAGAGCTTATTTCTAAGAGATTAGAACTTCACCCTGCCCTGTAGTTGAGCAGTTCTGTTCCTGTAGATGGCTGACTTCTTAACTAGCTAACTGACCAGAGTTTAAGTTGTAAGGACTCTGAATTAGCAATAGTATCTAATACTCTGTCTAGAACAGTAATATTCTAGTAATATTCTGTGGTAGACCCTTTGGCATTCTCTAGCAGCACTGTGTGACTTGTAAGTGATCCTAGAGGTTCTTGGCATCGCCATCCATCATTTCGCTGAAGAACAAATTCTGTCCTCTGTGTTGAGAGGCTGGAGTGAAGCTGTGGCTAGTGAGAGGGCCCAGCTGACTGCCCAGCGCTCACACCCAGGAAAAGACTTGTTCCCCTTTCTCCATACCCACTCACTCTCATGAGCTGCCTTCTAAAAACAGTGTTTCTTTTTGAAAGACAGATATTAAAAAACCAACAACAAAAAGAGGTATGCGTGGTGGCATTTGTCATGCTTCAAGATCTTTGAAAGTTTTCATAAAGAGATTTTTTTACTGATTTTTAGAGAGAGGGGAGAGGAGAGGGTGAGAGAGAAACATCAATGTGAGAGCGACACCTCGATCGGCTGCCTCCTGCACGCCCCTCACTGGTCCAGCTCACAAGCCGGGCAGGTGCCCTGACTAGGAATCTAACTGATGATCTTCTGGTACACGGGCTGGCCGACGCCCAACCAACTGAGCCACATCAGCCAGGTCGAAAGTATTTTTTAAATGGGTTTACTGTAGGCAAAGCACTTGGAAAAATGAAATTAGAGTTAATATTCCCTGAGGGGGGTTAATTCATTAATGCAAGGTTCCTAGTGGATCCTAGTTTCAGACTCTTTCCTGCTATGCTCTTCCCTGACACCCTTGCCAAAGGACTGTTTTAGTGTTTGGACAAATGGATGAAGCTAAAGACAGAGGCCGCTGGAGCGATTCTGCTGCAGTAGATCATTCAAACTCTCTATTACCAGGATCCAGTTAACATACAAATTTCAGGGTTGGGGTTTGAAGATGCACGATCTAGATAATGGTATGGGCATAATTTAACTGTTACGTTCATCATGCACATTGAAAATATTATCTACAACTTACGATAATACACAGTATAATACTATCTCATCTCCTCCCGTCTCTCCCCTAAAAATCATATTTCGAAAACAGGAATACTTGGCAGCTTGCATCTCTGTCTGGATTGTGTGTTTTCTTTCTTAAGATAAGCTGAAGTAAAACTTGGCCTACCATGTTTGCTGCTCAGCGTTAGCAGGCATGAACGTTCTCCACATTAATCAAGGGAAGGTGGGGGCGGTGTCTCGGGGCCCAAGATGCAGCCCCCTGGGAGATACATGATTCCTCCTAGTACATTGCACACTTGGCAGGGATTCTGGTGTGGGGGTATTTAGTCGCCTAGACAGCAACTTACATAGAGAAAAGGCTGTCCAGTTCCTAGATATGCCCAAGAGCTGGGTCCTCCCCCAGGGGATGGGAATAATCAGATACAGAGCCATCCCCCTAAGTCTCCTAAAGGGTTGTCCTCACCACACCGACCCCACTCGTAAAGCTGGCCTGTCCTGGCCTTAGCATCTCCTCTCTTGTCCACTTAGAACGTGCAATCTTTTTTTTTTTAAAACATGTCTTTATTGATTTCAGAGAGAGGAAAGGAGGGGGAGAGAGATGGAAACATCAATGATGAGAGAGTCATTGATCGGCGGCCTAGCCCGCAACCCGGGCATGTGCCCTGACCGGGAGTCGAACCCTGATCTCCTGGATCCTAGGTCGATGCTCAACCGCTGAGCCACGCCCAGCCGGGCAGAACGTGCAATCTTGATGGCACCCCATGATTTAAAGAATTTACAGAAATAATTCGATGTGTTTCCTTCCCACAAAAGGGCCCAGAGATCCTTCCTATTTGGAAAAACAAGAGAAGCATTTCCAAGGAATCAGGAAGTCCCAAGGAATTCGCTTTTCCAGGACCTCGTTCCTTTCTTTTCCCATATCTGTTCTCCCCAACAGAAGTAGAGTCAAAGAGAAAGAGACGAGCAAAAAGATCCCAGAGGTGGGGGGACACCCACATATTTTAGAAATAGAGCGTGTGGGTATCGGGGGTAGGGACTGGCATGCTCGGCTGGACTAGATCAGCTCAATGGGATTTTTCAGTTTTATGTAAAAGAAAGCAAAAGGCACCCCAAAGTTGCCAACGGATCTGTAGTCTCCAAGAGGGAGAGGGTGAGAACAGTGAAGCAGTTTCTTCCTGACTCCTGCTGCATCCCGCTGCCCTCTTGAGACCTAACCCAGCTAGTCCTAGTTTTGGGACATTTGCGTGTGAATGAATCACCCCACCTGCTAAGTCGGCTTCGCTGGAACAGAAGCTTCCGAGCCGGTCGGAGCCGACCGATGCTTGGACATCTGCAAAAAGTACTGCTTCCCATGTTCTCTTGTTGTTGTTTTTCCTGTGGGGTGATTTGATCTCCATCTTTAACGTACCTATCAGGATAAAACCCAAACTCTTTTATCTCGTGTATACGGCCCTTCATAATCCAGCTTTTGGCTGTGGCCTCCACCTCTTTCTCTGATCCACCCTCGCTAAGCTCAGCATAATCCCCGGCATGATTTGCACTGTCGCAGGTCCCCGGCCCTCGTAGACTGCTGTTTCCTCTAGGAGTCCTCTGTACTTTGTCTTACGTTTTCCAACTTCTATTCAGCTTCAACACCCGCCTCAAGCATCACCTCCTCCGGAACGCCTCCCCTGCTCTCCCTCCCACAGCTGCCTTCCTGCCCTTCCTCTGAGCTGCCGCATCGCCCTCGTACATCTCGGTCATTAGCACTCGGCGTGCATCATTCAAAACAGGGGGCTTGGGGCCACACCAATCATTCAGTCACTCTTCCACTAATACAAGCACTCGTGCAATAAATCTGTGTTGAGTGCTAGCATAGGCCCCAATTCAAGGCATGTAGACTAGCTGGGGCCGCAGCTACAAAGACCTGAAAAAGTAACCAACAGGAACAGTCGTAACGTGCTCAACCTTTGGTAAGGGCCCTGGTAGTGTAAGACCGAACACAAAGGAAGAAGAAATATTTTGCGTGTTAGAGGCCTGACGACTCTGACACTAAATTTATAATGGTTAAGGTTGTTCTAAATTCAAAGCCAAAAAAAAATTATATTATTCTAAACGCACCCAGTATTTAGAGGCGATGGGAGCCCCAGGACCTGTGACCCTGTGGAGCCATCCCTCCTGATGCCTCGTCCCTCAGTAGGTTGAGTGACTTCAATTTGCCCCCTGTGTGAGCAAGTTGCTCTGTAGATGCTCCAAGTTCCTGCTTTAATGAGAATGAGAGGAAAGAAGGAAA